CTACGTTGATATTTTCCGATACTGGTCAGTGAGTGGAGATTTGGAAATCTCCGATGAACAATTCATCGTGAATGGCTAATCTAAGTTAAACGGTGGTGAATCAACCTAAAACTGTTTCATTCCATCGTGAATGGCTAATCTAAGTTAAACGGCGGTGAATCAACGTAAACCTTTTTCATTCTACTACTCGTAAGGTTGCTGAAAATCCTTCGACAGCCCAAGACCGGTTCCGCCCTTCTTGGGGCTTATCAGATAGGTGCAGTTCCCAAGTTCTGTCAACCTTTATGAACGTATACTGCGATATCGTGCCAACTGAATCATGAGGGGGACTGTGTGAAGCACACTCAGTTGTAGAATATCATACATGAGAGATTCAGTTGAGTATCTCGTGAAAACCAAATTGATCTGTTTCATCCTTATTGTGAATGACTAGCAGTGCATATATCACAGTAATTTTGAGCAAACTATCTTCCTGCTGGTGAATGAACTCTCGCCCATCCGGTATCGAGCCGCCTATCACCAGCGTGAATTGCGCGCACTTAGGCGGAATACATCCCGAATAAGCTTATGATCAGGATATCCACATTGTCTGGTGAAGATTTGACTAGCTCCTCGAGTGATGGCTTTCCATGTGGAATTTTCAATCAGTTTCACTCAGCAACCTAAGATCCTGGAAGGTTTTTACGAGATAGTATGGAATAACGAGAATATCCTGAGAGTAGAACTCTATCGTACTCCCGAATTACAAACTTCACCGGTGACTACTGTCTTAGAATGGTGCATCAACTGGAAAGCAGATTGTGCCCTTTTTTGACCGGTCAACAAACAGCCCCTAATTCGGAACGGGCGTTCACACACGTGAATTCAACAGGACAACCTACGCCCAGCATCGGTGCGCACGGGAAGCCGACATTAATCTAGCTAAACATTCTTGATTTCGCGACTTCGCACCGATGAAATCAGACACCGATTTTCTTGAGCTGCTTCCAACACTGGAGAGTTGCAATTACAACTTGGTGTCTTTTTTCCGAAACCATCTTTGTGCTTGATAGCTACATCTTTAAACATTCAGAACATTTATTCCGGCGCGAAGACGGAAGCTAACAATTTTTTCGATCAAACAGGAAGCTAGGCGGCTGACAGCAAAACGAAGAGAACGTTTAAACTGTGTGGATTATTCCAGTTTTTTCACAAGAGGGTGCGCGACCTCAGTGAATGGGGGAGGTCTGTTTTTATATGGAACGCATCAGGCTCATTACTCAGGGCAACCTGGCTTCCTGCGTCTTTAGAGACCTTGGTGCAGAAGACAATAAACAAGCTCCCCATGAATAGGTCAAAATATGTACTTCCTATCAGTACGTATATTGGTTACGTGGTTGCTATCGATACCCTTCAACTCACTGAAAAGCTACCGAGACCATTACGCTGTGAAAGTAATCACACAACAATAGTGGTGGATGTCTCGGGAACGACGGGCCAACACATGTAGATTTGTGTTAAGAAGTGGCAAGCTAAAATGCTTATTTAGTGGTATTCAAACTGCCCACTCACCGCGACTGAAATCTACTGAATGCTTGGTATACTCATGCACATCATGAAAACTATAATACCTACATAGCTTACAAAGGACTGCATCCCGTCTACTCGATGCGTTAGAAAGCTGAACTATGAAGAAAGTGGAGAATTCTCAAAGGCGTTCCCACTGGGCATACCATTCCATAGTGATGGCCGACAGAAGAACATCATTTTACTGTTCTAAGAAAAAGCGTTTGCAGAACCTAGCAATCTTGCATTCTCAGACGAGGTTCTTACAGTTTCCAAGTCGTCTCGTGAAAAGAGATTTACGGCACTACTTCACAGTGTAAGCTGTATGAACGTCAGAGTTGCGTGTGGCACCGATCCCAAAAGTAACCACTGGTAAGCATACTATGATGATGGAACACGATCCATTTCTGTCTATCATACGAATACTAATCAACAAATCTCTCAACCTGATAACGACTTGCCAGATTTTAGCTAGATAGTTTTGTTTCAAAAAACCAGTCTTGCGAGAACTAATGTACTTGATTATACTTGATTGAACTTGATCGTTTTTGAGTGCTCTAGATTGTCCTTTCTGGCGTGAGACAGGAGCTCGTGACACTCGTAAGCCATTCTTCAGCTGCCCGAGCAGATGGGATCTATGAGCCACCAATTTAGAGAAAAACAAATATTTATTTGTATGGGCTACCTTCAGAAGTTGCTGAAATCCATGAACTTAAAATGAACAGAATTGTAAAGCTCACTCAATTGCGTTTAAAAACAACGTATTCGATCTAACAAATAAAATTTTATGGCCTTCTCTCACTGTGATCTCACTTCAACCTACACCACTAGACGGTTGAATTATGCCGCCTGTTTCGTCCTCTGAGGGTCAGAGAATTATCATGAATTTTGAAGAAGAAAAAACCATAAATCAATTACAGCAGAGTATTTTCATCAGCAAGACTTCCCATTTGATGTTCAATTTTCGCCATTTGTCTCCGGACACGTGACAGCCCACGTGGGCTACGCAGTTAAGGGGAGTGAAAGCAATTTTTTGTAATTTTTTTGTTCTGAGGCGCGGAAAACTTTAGCACAGTTTGAGGAGAAGTTTGGTGAATCTACTCAAAGCAGTGGAAAAGAATTTTTTTCATAGTGGTCCTCTTTAAGTCAAACGCTGTCACACGAGTGCGACAAAAATTCAGTCCAGCCAAACTTGTCTAAATACGATCAATAACTGGAAAACTCTATTGAAGAAAATAAAATCCCACCGAATGCGAGATAATACTGCTTAGACGTCTTTACTTAAACTCGTAGGTGCGAAGTGCCTAACGATGCAGTTACCTTAAACTGGCGAGTCCCAGGCGCTTATGTATTCAGCTAGTGAGGCCAGAGCAACTTAGTTTACGGTCTCCGATGTCTAATGACCGAACGAAGACATGAATATATTACTCACAATTATATGAGTAGCTTTCGGTATTCTAGGATGCCGTATATTCCCTATTGCACATTTTAACGCTATGTGGTCTATTTCTGCGAGACCTCCTAATTGTGAACTGCCTTTTATTGAAGTCGTCTAGTTTCGTCCTTTGATTGTGCGTTGCAGTTTACTGTTAGAATTTAATGGAAGTAATTTTTTTCCATCATGTGTACAGACCGACAACCATAAAAATCATTAGTTCGTCTTACTCAGCAAAAAGATTTCATCTATCTGATGTTTCCTGAATATGGCAAACCAATGCCGGACTTCTCTGAACCTGACCTAGTCTCCACATGCTTCTCAACTCCAAGTACGAAAAGGATTTGTTAGCGGTTCATCATTCTTCCCGGAATTCTAACGATAGGCTCAATTATTATTTACTGAGGACGTAATCCAAGAAGTGTTTATAATTCCAGAACAAGGAACGTATACGTATAGTTCTGCTCCAATCCACCGTTGATCGATAGCTCGTTTTCAATGAAAACTAATCTACATTAATGTGGACGTCCTACGCGGCTGGGAAAGGTGGGGGGAAACATCGCAATCAACATCGATTTTCCCTCTTTCGGTTGGCATGACGAAGGGTAATTATGCAAACTTGTTGTGTTCTCGTGAGCTCTATCCTCTCACACGTCCGCCGGGCTACTGATAATTAACACGGCCGCGGGAGAAAATATCGAAGTTCGACAACGATTCACGACTCTGAAGTCCCTACACATCCACAAGTTGATTGTGAAGATGACAGAAGATTGCAGATAATCTGCCAATGAAAATTTTTAAACGGTCATGGGTAAAACTCACCGCGCTGCGCTCACTTTGGCGAGTTTGACTTGAGTGAAACTATAAAATGAGGTTGGTATGGGTTGTGCCTGTCCATACCAAATAACATGAAAACCTCTTTCTACGGGGTTTTTATCCGGACAATTCAGTATTCCGGTTAAAGGAACCCATGCACCTTTTCCTTTTGTTTATAAGACTGGTGGTTAAGGAGCACGTAAATATACCTGAAGATTCGATTGTGTCGCATACGGCTACTTTGCAAAAAGGTACGACTGGTTACTAAGGCTGCAATTTCGACAGCAAATCGCAAGAAACCGGTTTATTGTAAACGGGAGTTCATACATAATGTGTGCATTTTAAGACTTTACCACCTTGTGATATTCGAGCAACCTGCTTGTTTCACCTCGCACGTCACATTTTTACTGCTCTAATGCAACAGATGTGTCATCCGCTCCCAGACTTATTGTGGTCCATTTGATCTTTTTTGTTCGTTTGAATTGGTTTTTCGATCTCAGTGATGATGATGAGCGTTTGCCCACCTCCGCAAAATCAAGCGACAGGCGTGGTCGCGCTTCAGTTGGTGAGCACGTATTGTTGGCTCATCATGGGAAAACGTTTTTCCACAGTCTGTCGGGTGCAGCTTAACTTAAGGTGCAAATCATCAGACACGCGCATTAGTGGTCTACACATAACAACTCAACACAATTGCGCATGTCCCAACCGAATCATAGCTCAGTCCCGTTCGATAAAAACTTTTTGAATCGTCACCATCGAAATCTCGCGTTCCGATTTACGATTATTAGTCTACTGGACAGCTCAGACTCTATCGGAAGCGTCCGTTCCTAAATTTTTGTGGCCCAAAAACAATCAGAGGATTCTGGAGATATTTGATTCTGCCTGCGAATATGTTCCTGATTTATGGACGTCTTCTAGAGTCGGATTAGAGGACACGGGAACTTGCAAGAGAATAGAGGAAGTGTGTGAACAAATGAAGCATCAAACGGACACATCGAAGTGGACACGGTATGTCACTGCTAGTCGCCAGATAGTTTACTTGCCCCTTCCGGAAACAAAATGGCTATTTTGCTGGGTGAACGAATGTTCAAATGACATTATAGTTGCATTTGGCCATCACCTCAAACGATCCCTGTTACATTTCAGGGCCCTTTTGCTAAAATGACCGAAAAACAACAATATATCCATTTCTCTCCACTCCTACCTCTCGGACTGCTTGAACAGCAACAAACTGATCGAAAATTTGTTGCGCCCGAGCTGCCAACTTCTTTGGGTTGGTTATTTTCTTGTATTCTTGACAGGCAATCCAAAATTCAATGTTTTCATCGCTGAATTCAGTGCTCAGGAAGTCCTTAAACAAGGCCAATCCAACTGGAGCGGAAAAGGAAGAAAAACAACACAATAAATTACTTAGCAGTGTCATTTACTTTCGTCGCTTGACAGGAAAAAACAAATTGCAAATTATGTGGACGTTATTGGTGGTGGAATTTCCAATTTGGACACATTCGTTTTATGTATTGGTGACAGCACACTTCTCTCTGTGCAAACCCATCACTCGGATGTTTGTAAAAATCAGTGGAATCTACTTCGCTTTGCTGACGCGACTCAAAGCGAGACAGCTCCAACGTGGACACCGTTATAAACCACTGGACACTTATCATTTACTCAGTCCGTAAAATACAACTATGAGCGACTATCAGGCTAACCTTTTTCGCTAAAACCAGGTAGCTAAGCCAAGCTGTTAGGATGTTCATGAAAACTCGAACTTCTGTTGGGTGCTAGTAAACGTGGATTTATTGTATGACGTTACCAGTGTTTTAAATAGCTTAAAAGAAGATATACTGTACTCTAGGAGAGCCTATCTATTCCCAACATTTTTGGTAGTCAGCGGACAAGCGCAGGTACAAAATCCAGTGTGGTGGGCAATTTTCCGCCAAGACCGCTTGTTGCTCTTGGGTTCCCCCCCCCCATGAAAAAATTAACGCGTGCCATGTGTCACAGGGGTTCACCGGTCGCCTGGTGGATATCCAAATCAGATTTTCATGTGATAAATTGCCACCATGTACCCTGAGATCGCTTCCTCAAACCACTGACCTGGAGACCCAGAAGTTCATCCAGCATTCACGATGCCTTGATGCCGAGCCCGTCGAGTCAAAGCCACGGATACAGTGTTCTTCATCTTTAACCGATAATGAGACTCACTGTCACAGCAAAGCCAGTCTATTTCTTCGAAATGCACCGAAATTTTGGTGCGAGGAGAGAAGTCTTTCGCCGCGGAGTTGTTTACTGGAAAATACCACCTAAAAAGTTTCAAACTCTTGGACGTGAATGTAAACATCTCATATGCAGCTTGATTTAAAAAATTGAACATCCTCACGCGTCTTCTTGAACTTTTGTGGATATTTACTGATTGTCGCGCAATTGTAGGCGAACACTGCATTGCAGTTCCACAAGCTCTGTAATAAACCCCAAATTCCATTAGGCGCTAGGCGGAGTTATGTGAACTGAACTGCGCGGGCAAATGATACTTCCCGGTTGCCCAGGCCGAGGAAGAGGGTTCGGTTGAGGTATCCCACCTTGAGCCTTCGACTCAAAAGTCTGACCCACAAGGCAGTGGGAGGACATAGGGCTTCGTTCGAGAACCCTGACTCTAGCCTCTGACTCAAAAGTCTGACCCACGAGGCAGTGGGAGATTGTAGAGTTTACTTTGGGGACCCTGCCCGGAGCCGATGACTCAATAGTCTGACCTGCTCGGTTGCAGGGGTTTGGCCTAATCCGAGGGCGCAAGGAATAAGGCATTATTGTCTCATTCCTGATGCGGCTGCGCACAGCAGGTGGCTTTGTTTCCAAAAGTATTTCGACCATATTGGATAATGCGCCGGCGGTCACGGTCAACCACTGGGCGATCGGAGTGTGCGGTTTTTGGGGCCGACCTTTTCTAACCCGTCCTTCCTCGGAGGAAGGCAGCATCGCTGCTTCCATAAATATGAACATGCTGGTCTCCCGGGGGTAACACCTTACTTCCTTCACACTCCTCTCGCAGAGGACAGTACGAATTTACCCCCAGACCGCCTCGTAGCACGATTACTCGTAGTGCGGAGTCTCGCTGCTCTTGGTCTGGCTGCTCCCGTTTGGCCTTCCTGGCATGGGTGCACCTTGTGGAACGAAGTTCTAGCCAGTGTAGCCCGCGGGATCATTTCAGCACTGAAGCCCGACCACCACGTCAAGGTGGCAGCTTTAGGTGGGGTTCAGCGGGTCGGACAGTTCAGCGTCCACCGATGTCCCTTCCCAACCCGTTCCTACCGCACAAGCAAAAGTCGCTGGGCCATTTGACTGTCGGTCATCTGACAGAAGGGCCCTATGCTCAGTTACGAGAAAACCACATACTACTCACAAGCCTCATCAGTAGTAACCGCCATTACATTGATAGTTTAGATTTACCGGTGGTCAATCGGGTCATTGATGGGTAGAATTTGTCCGAGGACTTCTGTTACTTGACATGATAGGTTTCTTCTCAGTTTCTATCGCGTCTTCATTGCAGACCGATCATTCAATAGAGTGAAGTTAAATATGCGCTACGTGCAGCGCAATCAAACGGTTGCATCACAATTCCTTTGGACAAAAAACAAAGGCCTGAAGTAATTGGTTGCAGCTGAGAAGATACTAGTAATGATTACTAGTAAAGATTACTAGTAGTGATACTAGTAAGGATGACTGAGCTGCTCAGTGACTTTTGGCCAAAAGTTGTTTGTCAGCTTTTCATAAAGAAAACTACTCACAAGGTTGCTGAAAACTCTTCGACAACCCACGACCTGTTTCGCCCTTCTTGGGGCTCATCAGTTCCGCGCAGTCTCCGACTTTCCGTCAAATTTATGTTCTGCTTCAACCCAGGTTGGACCGTTTTTGAGAGATACACTAATTTGCAAATCAATTTGGTTTTCACAAGAGACTCAATTGAATCTCTCGCTTATGATATTCCACAACTGAATGTTTTGCACACAGGCTGCCTCATGTTTCAGTTGGCATGATGTTCGAGCTATCGCAGTACATTTTCATGAGGGAAACTACTCACAGGGTTGCTGAAAATTTCGACAGCCCACGACTGGTTTCCTCTTGTTGGGGCTCATCAGGTAGGCGCAGTCCCCGAGTTTGTCAGCTGTTGACTGTGATGGTTTGGGATCATGCAGCGCTTTTGGACCCATTTGGGGCGTGCCTCTTTCTTCAGCGGTTGTGTATCATCTATCGTGTTTGTCATCACGCAGTTACATGGGATATACTGCCATAAATGACCGTCTCTTAACTGAATATAGAGGTAACCCTTGAGTACGATTTAGAACTGGGGTAACCACAGCAGTGTACGTCCATTTTAGCTCTAACACTTTTGGATTTTCAAGCAGCTGACCAATCGCCTTTAAAATGGAGTATTTTATAGTCTAGGAAATATTTCCATAAATTTATGCAGCCATTTAACGAACTCGTCAGATTATCTCTTTTGCGATCAAATTTGGTGTAGCGAATTGGCTTGTTCGTTAAAACAGTGCTTTGAGGATTTTGCACTTATGCGTTTCGAAAACGCACATGGTACCTGAAAGCGTAAACTTCAACAGATTCGTCCGGTTAGAGTGTGATAAGTATGTTCAAACAGAGGACATTGGTCACCGTTCTCTTTTCAATGACCAGTAGTCAACTTCTCAGTAGATGGCATAACTATTTCTTTTCACTAGCTACTGATGATTTGGTGCTGACAAGCCAACATTTTATATATATATATATATATATATATATATATATACTTGTTTTAAATGTCATTTCAGTAGACTTGTGCACCCTGTTTCCTTACAATAATTTATTTCGAGATTTCGACGCCTAACTTGACAAAAAACGTGGCGTTAGACAACAACCGTTGACTGGAACTTTTTGAAGTTCAACTAAGCGTTTCGTCTACCACGTCGAATGCGTGAACAGTCAAAATATCGGCGTCACTGTTTTTTTATGACCCATGGGAAATTTCGGCATTCATCCTTATTGGTCTGCACATTGCAGCATTTAGCTTGTGGTGTTTAAATAATCAAAAATACTTGCACACACTCACAGCGATCATTCAAAAGTGTCTCGAATGAATTTCGCCAACTGTGAATCTGTTCGTAGCTCGGCTTACCAGCCCGTATCATTCGTTTGAGTTCCTTCATCTGGACAGCTTTGTACTGGGCGGATGGTGTCGGTTTTTGTCGGAAGAAGGGGATTCCGCTGAGAAGATGGAACAAAAATGGGGTTGATCACGTTACATTCAAAAGGTCAAACTGTAGACAATAAACTACTGATATCTTGATAGTCACCTGGACTTAGAGGACTAAAACAGAATGCGGGAGTGAGTGAGGTGTCCATTTTCGGACCTCACGTGTCAATTGTCTGGTGTGAAGTCAATCAATGAACTTTGCAGACAGAAATTGAATGCTACCACCACTGCCTTTTGTTTGTTTGTAATGACTAAAAAATCCCAGGCTATATGTAGAAGTAACTGGTAATGTTTCAGCTGTACCTACTTTCCGGTGTCTAACTGCCAAACGTCCCGGGGGCTGTGAAATTGCCGTGTTGCACAAGTCTGGTTGTTTTAAACCACGGAAACTTCCACGGCCGTAGTCACTCAATCATTTCGATCCAGAGGATATCCATACCGTAAGGCTGACCACACAGCGCGCTCTGAGTTGCAGTATCTACTGTTAAATCGAATGTCAGTTCTCATGGAAATATTTTGGGATTCATTTTTTGTGTCCCTGGTAACTTGAGTGTTTGACAGCTAAAGACAGATCACGTCGAGAATTTCACATGGTTTTGTGCGTGGATATTACAACAAAAAAAACCAGTCGTAAGCGCTGCGTCGGCTATCTAGAAGATACGAGTTTCAAACGTCCGTAACTTTTGGCTAACTAAGTCCTTTTGAAAAAGGAAAACTTGACGAATAATCAAATGTAAGTTACAAGTTACATAACCAGGAGGAAAGTTAAAACTTTCGGGAGGTTCTATCTGCAATCCATTTCGATTATTCTTTCCTGCTCTAAATACCAGAAAAGCCATAATGAAGTTAATCTAACTAGCTCCCTCCCACGGCGAAAATAAACATGATACCACTGCGTATTAGCAGATAAAGTCCGGAACCTCATCTGAAGGTGAAATTCGCAGTGGACAAAATTCGCAAATATGCGGGGGGGGGGGGGAGGGGGTGGG